TTAGATCCATTATATGAGAATTGAGAACTGTGAAATACGGTTCTTTTCTCTGTTTCAGATAATATGGTATTATTGAAGTTGGTAATATTGATAGAAAGTGCAGTATCTATTTCCAAAGGCAATCAGAATGCATATTCAGAAAATACTTTAGACGGTTTCTCTCTCAATGAAATAACATCTGCAAAACGCATAGAAGTGAGCAGAAGCCGAGTTAATATTTCAACACATTTTTGTTTGTATAACTGAAAATCACGCTCAAGTTACGGACTAAATTGGACATTAAAAAACCATGGTGCCCTCGCTAAAAGCCAAGTGTGAGCATCTCAGTAATTGTCAGGGAGGTCAAAAGAGGCTTAACGTAAGCTCGTAAGTTATTTCTTCTACAAACAAACCTATTCTCATTTTAGTTTGATCTGATCGCAAGTAACGGTCCCTGGATTTTACGTGGAATTATTAGAATGAGCAGGATTTCTTCTGAACATTTGGAACCATTTCTCCCTTTTCCATCGCTCAAAGATTTAACAGCTTGCCCTTCGCTTCAGACTACAGCAGAGTACAGAAGTAGGACAGATGTTTCAAACATAGGTGGTGAGGTCATATCTCCTCCTGCGCTGTATTACAGGGTGTGCTGCGTGTATTGAAACCAGATCTGAACAAGACATCAGATTCATTCTCCTCCTGAGGACATTAAAGACAAGCCTTCGCCGATCTGTTTCTCATACCCGTGTATATCCTAACTTTTAAGGCCCAACAGCAGCTAGCTGCTACTTTGCAGCACTGGAGTCTGCTGTATTTTCTCCCTCACAATGGCAATTTTGCAAGAATCTCTTTTCTGATCGTGGATTCACGAACTCTCTTAACAATCATCACGCATATATTGAGGATGCTTTTCTAAAGCTTACTTGGTGAGCCACCTCCACAGCCCTGCACCTGAACTCTCCCAGATCTCAGAGCTGCCCCAAAGCCCCCAGCAGCAAGGTCAGAGCCAAAGTTCAGTAGGAGATAGCGTACAAATGCCTCATTGAGCAGCAGAGAAATGTGTTAGTGTTATTAAGGTGACCCCCTCACTCTCTAGGTATACGTAACAACAGTTGTGGATCCATCTCAGTGCACCACTGATTACAAATTTATCTAGAAGAGACTGTGTCTAAAACTATCTAAGATGTCAAGTTTCTTTTTGAAAATGGTAATGAATCAAGAAGCAATTCTATGTGTTTATTTCATACACACAGGAGGAAGAATGAGAGTACAAAAGCAATTTACATTTGCTAGCTTTTTGCTGCTAAACCCTACGTACTGTTTGTTCTGGATTCCTCTCATTATTCTAACTTACCTACAGATACTGATACTTGAGATTAAGTGAACTAATGCTGCTACTCTTATTAATTATTTGTTCATTGAGCAGAACAAATTATCAGCTCTCCAGTAATATATATGATCTTATTTTAGATTTTAAAGTGCATTAAATTTTTAATTTAAAAACTAAGGCTATTAGTTGAAGATCATTTGCCTGGTGTCATTTTAATTAATTTCTACAGTGGAGAAACACTGGCTGTGCAGATGTAAAAAAAAAAAAAGAGTGTCTAAAACATGATATCAAGGACTGTCAAACTGCTGAAGTCGGCCTCTTCTACCCCTCTACACCCCAATAGATTTCCAAACCGTGTGGCACCATGTCAGCACAGCTTCTGCAGGATGCACACTCAGCATCTCCTGGGATGTGGGACATGGAAGTTGACAAAAGAAGAAAATGATCAAGTTCAGGAAAAAGGAGGCCAGGTGATCAGAGGAAAGAGAGAGACACATCAGAAAACTTCTCCTAATTCACAGGTATAAAATGCCAAGCCCACAGAAATCCCCACTGGTCAAAGGCTTCAAGTGTTAGTTAATACGAAGTCTAATTATTTTTGCAGTTTGGTATTTTTATTAAACGTGCATTGAAATATGAAGCTTTCAGCTAATAGAACACATGTGTAGGTAGAGAGTTTTTCTTTTTGGCATGATTTCATTAGTTCCATGAACAATGATGCCAGAAAAACAAGATCTAAATTCAGTGCAACTACCAGGACGGACGATTCAGAGTGGGGTTGGGGGGAGAAAAAGCAATCAACAACTGCAACACTCTGCAGAGAAGCTACCATTTACTGCCAGCATCACAAGGCGTAAAACATATCTATCACCTTGAAGGGTTTACTGATAACATTTCACAGCCAATTTATGCCATTTTTTACTTTTGTTCTTATGAAGTTAGCAGCTCCATGCTTTGCAGCCCCGGCTTCTTCTAAACCTTTAAGTTGTGGTTCAGAGCAAAAAGCTGCATCAAGAGGCAGACCTAAACCTCGTCTGAACAGGCAGAATATTTGAAGGCTGGGAAGTGTATCATAATACATGGGAAACAGAAGAATAAGATGAATTTTCAAAGGGAACATTATGAAGCCAAGCTGAGACCTCGTACTATTAATAAGTACATATTGGTCAGCTAAGAATATTTGATAGCTGACTAAGGTCTCAAATGTGACACATTACTCACTTTCCCTATTATCAGTATTTTTTGGTGTCCCCTGGCAGAGTGCACTGGATTTCCTAACGAGGAAAAAAAAGACCGTCTCCTGAAAAGTAATGGACAGGTGGGAAAACCACAGAAGTCCTTTTGATCACAGGTCATGTACAGATGACTGCAAGCTACCGGATTGTTTGACTTCCATTACCACCAAACCGTATCATATGACAGGTTTTTGTGCTCTTATCCCACTGCGAGTGCCAAGGAAAATGTATTAGTTTCAACTTCCATTCTTAAACCACAAACAGAATTTAGTTTAACTCATTTTCCTTTGCACTTTTTTATGAGCTAATAGCTCAAAAAAAGGTCGCTCGGCACAGATCAGCTGATCAGCTGAAGCCAGTTGAGCCACGGAGCTCCCCTCTACCCCCTGGCATAAGGCGCACGCAGCTGCTGCAAGGAATCATGTGAGTGCTACTCATCCACTTCACTGCAAAACAGCCCCACAGGGCTCCAACTGCTGCTGAAGGTTTCAGTGTCTAGCAAAGAAAGGAGATAAAATCCCCTAAATAGTTGCTTGCTCCTATTTTTTTTTTTTGGTCCACTGGAAAAGCGTTAAGCAGCGAGTGCTTTTGGAGATGCTTAAAGGTTGCTGTGGATTAGTGCAGATGCCAGCTGAAGCGTGACAACGCCAGGCTGCCAAGTCCCACGGGACAGCAGGTACTCTTCTGCACTAAAATGCAGCTGAGAGCATGAAGAAAAAAATAAAAGGTTCCTTAGGAAAAGCTGGATGCTAAACTTCACTTCCTACATACTACAGCCACAACCACTTAGTACCAAATTATCTCTATCGTATACACGGTATGTAATAGCACTGATGCCTTCATACAGATAACCTACTGATGTTGATTTCAACAGAAATCAATTAAATCCTGCTTTTCTTCCCTATCTTGTGTATACTGTCACACACTTCAGTGAACAATGTACCCATATAGATATACCCACACGTGCACACACATTTACAACCAAGCACTTTCAGAACACCGTTTTTCCAGTGCAGCTTTATTTTCCAGGTACTAATGCAACTTGGTCAGATGATCACCAAAACCCACAATTTATGCGCATTTGGATTTTGTAAGCTTCTTTAACTTCGTAACTATTTTAGCACGAGACACAGACTGATGTTATTGTTGTATGAGAGGACTCACAGGTCCCTGCCTAGCAAGGGGGATTTCCAGGAAAACATTTATCATTCAAGCATTTCTCTCAAAAACAGCCTGGATTTGCAACAGTTTTCTAGACTACAGTATTTGTTTTTATGCAAGAGATGCAATTTGTGGCATACTTGTTATGAATATGTATTATTTAATACACCAAATACAAATTAATCCATACATGTCATTGTCAGAGATATACACCATCACCCAATATTAATTTTCTAAGACAACATAATTTTGATAGCAATATTTTCCTCATAAGGAAAAGTGAAGATTAAGTTCTAAAACAAAGGTTCTGATATGTCTCCAAAAAATCACCTTTCTTAGTCTCACTTCTGCAAATGTATTCTGGATTAAATTCTCAGTAACAAGGATTTGAAGTGCAGGGTTTTTTTTAATCTTGATTTTTTAAAATACAGATTAGATTGCTTCCCCATATAAAACACTGTATGCGGTCAAAAGTTTAGAGTACCAATAAGTTTTCAAGGCCTTAGAGTTCAAGAACCTTTGTGGTCTAAGCCTTTTCAATTCAGTGCAGTACTCAAGTTCTAGCCATATGTCTCACAGCTTATTATTATTCAACACGAACAAGAAGAAACATAACAAAATTTTTCAAGTGGCCTGGCTAGAAAGCTTCCTACCAGAATATTCTTGTGCTGTGGGTATTGTAATAATTCAGCATTTAGTAAAGCATGTCTGAGATCAGATGTTAACAATTTTGCCAACACCTGACATGGAAATTCTGCTAATTTAAACATTTACTGACTCATCACTCAAAGCAAAAACTTTTTTCTTACCTCATGTATGCCTAAGCACCTAATAAAGCCATCTTATCAAAAAGAACAAAAGCAGATGTGAAAGATCAGTTTCTCCCAAGACAGCCATATAATGAAAAAATAGCTGCTTAAAACTCAGCAATAAATGTTCTTAGGTTTGCACAGACTGCAGTCCACATCTGGCCACAGTGACAGTTGATAACACGGAAAAGAACATACTGTACGTAATATAATCAATCCCGTTAGTAAACATACGAGTGAAGAGGCCAAAGAAAGTATAAAACACAGGGATAAATTATATTGCAGGAGGAATGATATAAGTTTGGTCAAATAGTTTTAGTCCACAGACAAAATACTAAGTTTGTTGTCTCATTTTGCAAGTTTTTATTTAAACAAAGGCCAGAACAGATTTTGTTCTCTAAAACAGACACCAGTAATGCCAAATCATTCCAATTGCAACAACAATTATAAAGTAAAATGCTGCTTAAAACTCAGCTCTGTTCCTACCTGCCCGTCTTGACCAACATGAACTTGATGTATCTGTAGGTTTCCCTGTAAAATAAGAGCATCGACAATAAATACAAGTTGGGAATTCAGAAAGTTCTCTATCCTGAAAAAGGCCTGTTTCTCATCTCATTATTAAACAACTTCAATATTAAGGAAATCTATTAATTTAGGAAATTCTTCTGAGGGCTATTTTGGCAATTCAGCTACACTTCAATGCTCGGCACTTTAACCACAGAGGATAAACAGACTTTTAAAAAAGCAAGGAGGTTTTTCAGCACCCGCATGTTTTCATTTTTGAAAGATAGTGTGTAATGTACAGCACTTTCATGCAAAGTCTGATCATATGGCCTTTGAGGTAAGATTTTCATTTTTACTTATGTATATAAAACTGAAAATGTAAGTCAAAGCCTTACTAAACTAGAATTAGCAGTATAACATTTATTTGTATGGAGTGCTAGTCACTGCCTATGCTAACATTTTTTTGATATCGAGTTTTGATAAAATAAAGGCAAATGTAGTTCTACTACAGGAATTACATCTACTACAAAAAACTCTGAATAATGTACTTTAAAGGAAACTGTAGCTACAAAATCTAAAAATGAAAGCAGTTTCATTACAAACTGAGTTTTTATTCATATGCTCAGAGATGCCTTTTTAAAAGCACACAGATTAAGAAAAAACAGTTACTCTAACACCAAGACTTGCAGTGAAATACAACATTCCAGGAAAGAATTTTAGTTCTTTGATTTGCATATTTTCTACATTTTCTTTTACTGGCAACACATCAGTCCTTTTTGAAGCTGTGTACATTGCAATAAATTCAAAACCAGATGTCTTCATCTGTCACAGACAAATGTAGTGCTTAAAATTCTTACATACAGGAAACTCCCAACCAATGGACGCTGGTGTTTAAACCTCAGGATCATTTACAACTAGTAGCTGATGAATCCGATTTTTTTTTTCCAGGGGCTTTTTAAACTGCTTCAACTTCATTATAGCACACTATGCATTCCCAAAACATTCTGATCCTTCCTTTCTTCTGTAGGTCTGACAAGCTCTGTCAAGACTACTGCCTTTAGCTGTAATATTTATATAATATTTATTATATTTACTCTGCAGTACCTCCCCCTGTGTCATCAGTATTCCTCCTCACCATAAGTGGTTTTATGAGATGTTATTTAGGGTACTTTGGAAATGGATTAAACTAACCCACAAGCAGATATGCTTAATGTTGAGTTAAAAAAAACTCTACAGGGAAATCATACAGAGTAAATATTGTGGTCTGTATTTATGCTTAACTTTATTTTGCTATTCCTTTTTCATATAAACAAACTCTAAGAGCAAAAGACATCTGACAGCAGCCTTTGCCATTAGGAATCTCTTTACATTCCTAAATAACCAACAAGACCCTCAACTCAGGTAAATTGAGATGGCTTCAGTTGTTCTGCCTGAGTGGGAAAAAAAAGAAATTGGGGGGTTCAGTGTTGGATTTATCCATTTCTATTCTCCTGTACTATTTTTATGGAAAAAAAAAAAATGAAGTGCAAATAGTGCAGTGCCAGATTACTTGATCCATAATGAAAGTAAATTCACTTCAATCCAGAATTTATCTTAATAGATGTAGTTACCTTAATAGATGTAGCAAACAGATTTATCTTAAAAGATGTAGTTTGACTGTAACACACTTACAGTTTTCCTGTAACACTCTGGAAGTACTAAAGGAAAAAAGGTCAAGGGGAAATAAAAAAGACAAATAGCATATTGCATTTACTGCTGGGGCACGCATTTTATCCTGGCTCCAGCTCACTTCTACCCTCACAGTCCCTGTAGCGTGCTGCAAGAGTTCCCAGAGGTGCAGTTTTAGAACTGGGACCCTACGTCCAGGCCACTGCCTGCTCCATAGGTACCCAAGTTTTTGGCTCACCTCACTGTCCTGCGTGATCTGGACTTGCTCGCCTTGAGGAACTTGGGCTATGTGGAGATGTCCCTGCGGGATCCACAACAAAAAAAAGACACCAGGAAGCATCAGAAGAAAACCAAAACTAGAGGAAGAAACTAATAACTTGGATTCAATACAGCTTAACGTATTCTCAGTTGTAGATGGAAGCAAAATACTTACTAAATGAAAAACATTAAAAATTGCTTTCAAAAAGTGTAACAACATTTCACCATATTTTCATGCAAAGTATAACTGAAATGAGTTTTGAAGAGAAAATTGTTCATTTTCATGTAGGAGGAAAAGGAAATGGACACAATAAATAACAGTTATGTAATTAAATAACATTTCTCTACAAAAGAAGCATCTGCAATTTTTGACTGATACACAAAATATAGGACTAACTTGCTTGGGTAGATTAGCTCTCCTAAACCTGTGTGTTCAAAACAAGAAACCCATTTAAAGAACTTAGAAACTCAGTTCTCAAAACAGATGTGACAAAACTACTCACAAATAGTTACTCTTAGACGGTATCTGTAAGTATCCATAACTCTTTATAAATTCACAAAGTTATGGTGAGGTACAGTTCCATGCTAACAACCATCTCCCAGGCTGTTATAAATTGGCACGAAGTTATTAATTTGAATGCAGTTCCACTGGCTTATATTAGCTGAGAATCTGCCCTAACGGTTTTAATAAGGTTAATGCTTTGTGTTGCTGGCCATACCCGCCACTTCAGAAAGGTATCGTGCCTATCATTTGATCAAAACGTGGATAAGAAAGTGGAAGGAATTCCTCATGCACCCTGACCAGCCTTGAGAAGTCATTGCTACTATGATGTACCTGAAGGGAGATTGGATTCTAAATAACCTCCTTCAGGGTTTATAAGGCTTTGTGTTCGTTTTAATATGCTTGCATGAGACAGAGATTAAAGATAATCATTTGGAATTCTGTCAAAAGCTCTTCTTATTTTATAACGCAAGAACAATTGCATGTGATTTTCAAAGAAACACAGATCCCTCTATTTCAAACAGTTTCATTTCCTTTGGAAGGAAACTGTCTATTTATAGGGAGAAAAAACATACTGAAAGTATCACTCTGACAATAGAGACTGTATATAAAATTAGAGCACAGCCCAGTCCACGTTGAGATTAGAATCACTTTCCCTCCTTAACATCAAGCTCTCAGGGCTCCCAGGAAAAAAACACTGAACATCTAAAAGATCCATTTATAGTATTTTCAAATAAGTGATTTTTTTTTTTTTTTGTCTGGGGAAAGGGGGGAAGAAGGTGACTTTCTTCACCTTTGTAACACGCAGCATTCCAAAAAACAACTGCTCACTCATCTTTTGCAGATACATTGCTGGCCTTCAAGGACAGTGTGCTTAGTTTGTCCATGAATTCCAAAAATCTTTCTGAATTGTAACTCTTGAAGTTTCTAGATATTCAGCAAATCCTTGGCATTCAATTCAACAGTGTAGATGACTACTCCCCTACTAATTGCTCAGACTGACCTATACACATCATTCCCTTGAATTGAAAAAGCAGTACCACTTTCTTATGCTTCAGAGACATCCCCATATTTAAGACAAATGATGACAACACTTAGGCCATAGGTTGCAGTGGATAAAGAGTCTTTGATAAAGAGTCTTGTGGTCAACAAATATCAATATTATAACTTTCACTTATATATTCGTATCTGAATGGATACACATGTAAAGGGCTCAGCTAACAGATGTTCAAAAATGCTTTAAAATGCAGTTATTTTAAAAATGAAAATAAATGAATCTGACTCTATGAATCAAATGTGGTTTTGTTTTGAAAGTCACTGTCAGAACTACTTCTTACATTTAAATTGTACATTTTGTAGGTCTGCTATTATTATAGTAACTGTGCAAGCAAATGGCCAAGTAGAGACTTGACTACTTAATACTAGTCAGAGTAATCAACGTGCGTTTATCTGTAACAATTTTGTGAGCAAATCCTGCACTGAGATTTTTGCCAAAAAAAAATCTTTAAAAGTTGTGGGTTTTTTTATAAGCCTTCAATGTTTATTTTCTGAAAATCATGCTTAAGAACTGACGATAGGTCCTTTCTTAAAAATAAAATAAATAAATTTCAACTGAAGCAAAGTCTGCAGTAACACAGATTGTTTAAATAGAATAATGTAGAAAAGGTTGAGTACATACTACTTGGACTTGTCCATCTTCTCCTATTTGGTGGATCTGGACCTGCTGAGCATTGGCTAGTGCATAATGTAGTGCCTGGGGCTGGTTCTGTTGGATCTCATTAGAGGCTGAAACTGCACTCTGCGAACCCTCTGAAAGAGACAAAAATGCAGCTCTATTAGATTTGCAGATCTCATGCCAGCGGCCATGCAACAATGCATACTTAAAAACCGTGGAAAACAAACGCAGTCAGTAAGCAGATGCAGCTCATTTTTATACCTTAATATTCTTTATGCATGGTCACTGCTCACCCACAGATTTGCTACAAGTTCCAGTGGAGTCCCAAAGGTTATTTTGTCTCCGAGAAAGCAAACATCTAAAAGCTATCTTTTGAATCTAGATTAAGGGTTCTGCAAATGTAAAAGTAGTACCACAGGAAAAACACACACATTTCGTAGGCAGTTTAACACTTTCTTATGTGCACCTGTGTAGCTGAGAAATACTTACTGCTTACATCACTATAATACCGTGATCTACTACTACTAAAAAAAAAAAAAAAGTGCAAAAATCACCCTCTAAATCATCTCACAGCTGACTCCCACAAAGTCAAATTCTATGATAATGTCTCAGTTTTCAAAATCCCTGATCTTTTTCACTGTTGACACACACAGACTTTTTCTCCCTCTCCAAATACTGAGGACAGAACATGAGATGTCCCAGACAGAGAGAAGCCTCAGCACAATTAACAAAAAAAAAAAAGCAGGTCAATTTCTGGACTTGGATGAAAACTGGAAATTAAAGGGTTCTGAAAGTGCTCCTAGTGAAAATGTATGCAGAGGATAAAACCAAAGGACCTGACCACTTTCTTCTGGTCACTGTGTCACTCACCAGGAAAGTCATCGCATGATTTCAAGAGGAAAACAACTTGCATTAGAAGTTGACATACTGCATATTTACTTACAGGCTTTCTGGCTTCAGGGAAAAGAAGCATCATAAATGTAAGAGGTAAAATGCAAGTAAAAAGAACTAAAATTGTTTTCTAATATACAACCAAACTTTTTTTTTTTTTTTTTGAAACCTGGAGTTTTTATGCATATGGTCAACGATATTGAGACTAATAATGTCTGTACTAAGAGGTTGAACTGGAAAACGAGGGAGAAGAGGCTGATTGTGTGGAATCCACCACCAGCAGGTGACCACCGCGGGATACCCCTTTTCCTTTTAAGAGTCAGGAAAGGCAGAGGAGCTTACAGAACAATGACACTTCGGCAGCATGTGACAAGTTCAAGTACACACTGCTGGGAAAATCCTTGAAACATCCCAGTATCGTGCAGATTAGTAAAATTCAGCATGAGTCCCAGTTTTGTTGTTTGTTTTTAATCTGAGACAACTGGGAGAACAGGACGGTCCTAACAGTCTTTTAGAGTAAGGAATATGAAGCAAGGCTTTTTACATACAGTATTTCTGTAATCAGTTTAATGGTTTTCTTTTGCTATGCTACGAAAATATATCATATGAAATCTTTGAAGTGCTACATTTGTTTTACAATTTTTCGAGAGTATTTATTGCTCTGACCATGACTTATGCTGCATGGTAACATAAAACACATTAAGATCTAACACGCAGTAGCATTCAATACTACAGGGCTTTCAAACTGTCCAAGTACAGGAAACGGTAATGAAAATATTTAAGAAACAGTGTCACTCTACTTCCATTGTAGATAATTTTCTTACAAGATGTTATGTATTGTTTAAATAAAGACTACAAGGCCCTCATCCTGCTCAGAGATGATTGATGGCTGACGTGGTTTTTGTTTTGTTTTTTTTTTAAATGTGATGGATGGTTACTGAACCAACACGCCAGGTTCTGGTTTTCATAAATTTTTAATACCTCTACTTAATACCCTAAGATTTATTCTGGAAACAGAATGTTACTTTCAAAAGACTGAGCTTTATCCAATCATACAAATATTTTACTGGAAATGTTCTTTAATAAAATTATCCATTTGTGTTTTTTTTTTCATCATGTCTGCAAATGTTTGTGGAAAAACACAATTCTGAGTTTAAGTCTGACCATGGGAATTGGACACTAATTCAATACCACTGAGCTAGTATTTACTTATTTGTTGAAAAGTTGAGTTGCCTAACAATTCAACTAAACAGCTGTAATTATGTCAACAATCTGCAAATATGTAACTACAACCAGAGCACTAATGCACTAACTCAGTAAAACATAACAAGTCCATGTTTTTGCTATCTATTTAATACCTTACATTTGACTAGTAGGTAACTCCAAAAAAATACATCATTTCTTAAATATAGCCCAGTCGGTTACTGTACAATCCTGGTATTTCCTGCACTGTTGTACGGTATTGCTGTGAAGAATTCAGGACTGGATTAACAAATCACGACTGGTACAAAAGTCCTGGCTGCGGTATGAAAAACTGCAGTGGCAGCCAAAGAAAAATGTGATTTGTTCAAATTCTGATACTAGATCATTCTGCAAGTTTCCTTATGCAATTAATGCTTAGTTTTTATTTCATAAAATAGCATTTTGCGAGGATCCTAAATGGCTAAGAATGCCCACTGTAACTCATCTTGCTTCTCACAGGCTACTGCTAGTCCGTACAGCTGTGATTTTGTCTTCTCAGTCTCTAAGTAACTCAACAGCTGAGCTGCAATTCACCATCTGGTCAAACCATGGTGTCCAAATACATCATCCTTCATTTCGATGTGTGTGTGTATATACATAACTTCATATATTGGAGTGTATGTATAGATACGCATATACATCACTAACCACAAAAGTGGACTTGGGACACAAGGCAGGTTAGATACTTGCTTCACTTCCAGATTTAATAACTTTTTTCACAGTACTTTTCCTGTAGCCTCAGCTAGCACTACACAAACTGCAATGCTGTACTTCTGAGCACACGCTAAGATGCATTTATAATTAGTATTCATTTTCTAATCGGGAAAGTGATGCAATGAAGTGAAATCAAAGAAATAAGCACCATCAGGGAAAGCATATATATATTTACATATGTATTATATGCACATATTGAAATGCATTTTAAACTTTATTTAAAAACCATCTTTTGCTTCGCAGATGCCAGAAATTATTAAGCTGTTCCGAACTGGGAAGAGAGGATATGCACCGAATGCAGTCATACTGTACGTCTTACCTAACCGACTAGGGTTACCTACAAATAGTTTTCCAGTTTGACTTCAGTGCAACAGCCACAGTCTTCCCTTCCTCCTACCCCCCCATTTTTTTTTCTTTTTAGGAATAAAGAAGAGGATTGAGCAGTGTCTAAAAACACATCTTTTATATTTGTTTTTCTCTAAATATCTGACCAGACAAAAGTAATATTTATCCATTTTTAAACAATCTCCATTAAAAATAAACACAAACATGAATAGCACACAGCTTGAATAGAGGATACGTCAACAGTTATAAATCACTCTCATGTAAACTATCTGGCTTCACATTTACAACTTTGATACATTAGAGAATCCCTGGCACTCAGAAACTGCACAGCTGAACTCTTGCTGTGAAGTCTTCCATTGCACTACTCAGGGGTACTTTGACATCAGCCGAACGGGGTATATAGTGCCAAGACCGTGCTCCTGACCTGGGGCATCCCCAAAGCACCCTCCGTGAGAGGGAAGAGCTTTGGGAGCTACCCAGACAACAGAAAATGCTGCACTGACCACTCCACAGGTGGCTAAGTTGCGATACAGGAGAAAAAGAGAAAAAAGTAACTGCTGAAATATTCCTTCCTCAGAAACTGAAATTGGACTTTTCACATTTTCCATTTATTTACTGCGTCTGCTTGTGAGTCAAAGAAAATTTAGCCTCAGTAAGTCTGTCTTGTCAGACAAACGCTCAGGAGTTGGCAAAATCACCCTCCGTAAAAGTTACTCGTCACATTTTTCAAAGCTAATCTTTCTCAAACATTTCAGAACAAGATTAGATTTGTCAAACAAATGTAATTTGTAACTGTTTTAAGAGTATGTGTTTAACTTTCAGCTCAGATCAATTTTAAAAATTCCTCACTTCAAAGACAAAACCTTTGGCATTTTATAATTCCTTCCTATTCTCGTTATGCTTCGTATTTATCAGTTGAGCATCTGGCTTCTCATTTTGGAAGGAAACGTAGGAGGTACGGATTCTGCAGCAGACAGGATTCAAGTTTAGTCTCCTTTCTCACGTCCTGTTACTCAAACTGGGTTTACTACAGGCCTCTCAGCTCCATGCTTCTGCGTACAACCTACCTTGTGTTTTCTCACTTGCTTGATATCATTTCCTAACAAGGAAAGGTTAAAGGGTAGATAGAAGCAGTCTTCAAAAACACGAAGTAGGATAAAGCCCCACTACTGAGCAATTCACAGAAATAAATCTGTATCCTGTAAGCCATTATCTCAGCCTGACTCAGGAGTGCTCCAGCACTCCAATTTTGCAGAGCAGCGTTGAAGATTTGGCTGCAATACCCATTTTCGCGTGTGACATCTTGGCAGAGCTGAGCCCTTCAGCCCAAATCTACATGTAAATCCCAAAGTCATAGACCTAATTAATAATTCCAACATGGAAAATTGCGATAACAGCTTTAACAATCTTAAGAGAAATTAAAAGAAAGGGAGAGATGGCACTCTTCAATTAATCCTCCTCTCAAAAAACTCATTTCCTACTCCCTTCCCTCCGCAGACTGCTAACATTTTTAAAAAGAATATCTAGCTAAATTATCATGGCAGCCATGGGTACAACTCCTATCAGGAAAAATGAGGGACAAAAGCACACATTAAAGACTAACACGTTGGCTCTGAGAGGAGCAATTCACTGCAGTTAATACCTCAAGTCCAACAAAAAGCAACAGCTTCGAATGGAAAAGACAGGAAAAAAACAGGAAACAAATTCTGCCTTAACTTAACTGTCTGCTACAACAACTTTATGCAACCCATAAATCTTGTGGCTACTGTAAATCTGCATAGTCAATTAAATGTAGAACAATCTTAATGGATGTCTTTGAGGATGAAGGACAGAAGAGGCATTCATTCATCTTTTCCCACCAGCTTCCTTAGACATGTTTTTTGTCTGCAGATCACTTCCTCTTCAGCTCTTAACACTCGAACAGTATCACAGAAGTACAGTGCTAAAACCTCGTCAGGTCTATGTAAGGACGATGTGCTCAGCCTCTTGCTTTCCATGGCATTTCCACAGCTAATTTTTCCTTATGATAAACAGAAGAGGGAGGAAATCTGTTATCATTTTTAACTGCACAATGCAAATCAAAGCCACACGCTACATAAGACTTTTACGCACAACGAGCATAAAAAGCCTCAAAGTTTTGACGTGTCCAACAAGTGCAGAAGAAGAGCAACCCTTTTTAGATGTAAACATTTCAGAATTATTTATTGTGTGTGCAATAACTCAATGCTTATAAGAACCACAAAATCACAGAACAGATGAGGTTGTTAAGGACCCCTGAAGGTCACCTAGTCCAACCCCCCTGTTCATGTTCAGCCAGCACAGGTTGCTTGGGACCGTGACCAGATGCAGATGGAGTCTCTGCAACCTCTCTGGGCAACCTGTTCCCGTGTTCAACCAACCTTAAAATTCCTCAGAGCCAGAGAAGCAGAAGTCAGGTTGCAGAAGGGGAGTCTCAGACTGTTGTTTTTTTTTCTTTTAATTGCTTCTGAAGAGCAGCTCTGTAAAATCAAGTCCCCTAACTCACAGGAGAAGTCCAGCAGAGCAGTGACCATGCTGATCTGACACTATTTCAAGAACACAAATACTATTTAAAATGATACGTAGAGATGTTCAACAATTTTTTGCTGCCAAACAGAAAAGTACGAAGCTATTCTAGACTTTTAGCACAGCAACATTTAAGGAAATATTCTGATACACACCGAGTTGGACTCGATGATCCTTGTGGGTCCCTTCCAACTCAGGATATTCTATTATTCTATGATTCTACATAGGAGAACATTACAACATTTGAAGAAAGTGCCAATAACTTCCTGCTGATTTAAACATGCATTTTTACAGTAAAGTATAATAGAAAGCTACCTTGAAAAAATATTGAAAAAATATTACTTCAAGCCAAATAACTGGCTTGGGTTGGAGTCTTTTCTGGTCCACCTTTTGGTCCCAACTTTAACACAAGCTACAATATATTACAAGTTCATAATCAGAAAAACACTACCAAACTAAGGAAAAGGTTCATGCAGGGAATGTGGTGTTCATTTATTCACACTCAGGCCCTCAAAATTATATTTAAACATCCCAATGATGTTTTCAGAACAGCTCAAATGAATGGCAGACACCACAATACTGTGAACTTACTCAGGGCATCTGTTGATGGCAACAGAGCATCTTTAAAAAAAGTGCTTTGTAAAGGCTATGGGAAAATCTTCTAGAGTATGCCCTAAACCCTCCCTGGGAAATTATCATAATTTTGTAAATCAGAGGGCTTAAGTACTCCTACAAATAGGTGAGGTTTATCATATTTAATCTGGGGGTGCAATGTGTTCTTTAGAGCCCATGAAGATGTTACACCAGAATCTGTGCTGCACATCCGCGCATCCTTTGCAGCCTTGCATCTTTTTGTGTAAACACAACACAGGAATCATTCACAATAATTTATTTGTTCAACTTTAAGTGCTACCTTTTCAGAGAGCTGCTGTATTTCGCCAAACAGATGAACAACCAAAAAGCCTGTTCGGTACGTACCGACTCGGTGGACCCAACCACGGGTATTCTGCTGGAGGGTGCAGCACCCAGGAGCTGACCTTAACAGCTCCAACTAACAATAGTGGGAAAGACAGATTCTCAAGTAGCTGAATTCCAGACCATTCAAGGCTCACCTTAACTTGCCCCCTGAAACAAACGCTACCATAAAAACTGTCTGGGTTCATATGTAACACTTTAAAAAGCCATATTTGACAGCTATGTTGTCATAACTGTGAAATACAGACCTCCTTTACTTCAGAGCTGTGAAATATTACTTCTCTTTCCTGCTAGCTGGCAGCAGGAATTCTGCTATATCCACTATACAGTGGATATAATAAAGAACAGATGCCTGTGAATTATGATGCTGTAATTCCATCGAGGGCTTCCAGAGATGTCAAACCACAAAGGCAAAGTCTGAGAGGTTCACGAAGTTACCTGAACAGAGCAGTGGAATTACAGCCCTGTCATGCAGAAGTTACCTCCTCAGACAGTGTGTGAACCCCTGTGGTTGCCTTTTATCTTTTCCTCTTTTCCCTCATTCAGCCCTTAATCCCAACCCTCCTCCTTTTCCTCATACTTCTTTCTTCAGGTGAAATTCCTTTCCCACCTGATTTTGGAATGCTAATTTTTAAAGGACCGCCCGGTTCGGAGAAGTGGGCTGTTTTTCTACTTTTTCACAGTGGGTGTGAAAGCAGTGGTGAATTCAGCTAACATCTTTATAGCCTCCCAGAAAACGACGCCAACGACATTCTGAGTAAGAGCAATATTTTAAAGAAAATTAACAAAAAACTCTGAATCCATGGAACATTTTCATGTACCATTACCAAAGGCAGCTGTTAATGCTATTGCCAGTACTCTACTTTTGGCTGCACAGCTTATGTGTATATATATATATGTAGTCCTGCAAATGACATGTCAAGATGCCTTAGCTGACCTTCATCAGATTTAGGACCAAAGACATCTTCCTAAGGACCTGCAGTCACTAATGTGCTATCCTGGGGACGGGGGAGCTGAGATGGGTGAGTGAGAGGCCCAGGTGGCAGAAAACCTGGGTGCACAACCCAAAACACCACGGTGACTTTTGCAGAACCACCTCCTGTGTGTCTGTACCATGCTGCTCCTGCCCGCTCAGACAGCACGGGTATCTGTACCCATGACAATTTATTCACAAATTGGGTTTGTGAAACTGCGACCAGCCTACAATGAAAACAATTGCAGTTTTCAGCTTAGCAAAAAAAACAAAAACAAAAAACACCACCTTACAGTCCTTCTAACGTCAAGAACTCACTGAGCCTGATTCTGTGTTTTACATCTCTATAACGGTCTCCCCAAATCTCCAAACCAGGAGATTAAAGACAGGAGATTAAAGATCAACATTTTTTAATAATAAATCTCAACAAAAGTCAATGGGTACAGCCTAATGAGCTCAGGCCTATAATATCAACTTACTACTGCATTTTTATTCTAAAGAGACTGAAAATAAAAATCCCATCAACATATATAGCTTATGGTTATCATTAGGTTGATTAGTTGTTTTAATTTGAGGATTTTGGATATGATTCCCAGTTCCAGCACATAAAATTTTCCATTGAAAGCAGATTTTGGCATTCTTTGCATGAGATACAGTGGTTAGTGTTAACATGCAACCAAAAATTTTATGCAGGCAAATAAACTTACTTCCTTTTCTTTGGGCTCACTTCCAAAACCCTGTTTTTAATATATGATGTACAAATGTCCCATAACACTGCTTTATATTAAAAGCATGAGCCAGAAATGTCCTATGAGAACACTTCTTAGGTCAGTATTTTTCATTTGTTATTATTATTCATGCCTACGCACCTATGTGGAAATACAGAATCAGCTACAACATATTTAATTTCTTCAGAGGAAAATACTTTATGAACAAAATTTAGCACGTCCTACTAAATAGTGTTAGCACACCGAGGAAGATTTATTCACTTGACTCCACTTATGAACATCAGTTGCAGATAAATATTTTGACCTTCTACCCAAAGATTAACATGGTAAGATATATATACGATGCTGCACTTTGTGAATTCTTTCAGTTAGCACGTGGGGAGGGACAGTCCCAACCACACTGCTGAAGCCAGGAGCTCAGAGTATGTACAAATCAACAAAGCTAAAATCTCACGCACACCAGAATATACTACACTTTAATTTCTGACAAATCGCTATTTTACTACTGTTTTAGTGTCAGTCTCCCTTCTCCCTCTTCTCTTTATGAGCAAAGACAAACCTCTGACTTCCCTTCTTGGATCAACAGTGCACCTCAGCCAGGAGAGTGACTGCAATTTGTAGGTGAAACAGTATCGTAGGTTCATGCTGCAAGGGACCAACCATGGTACAAGCCCCAGGAGGCTATCAAAGATTCTGAATGTACCAGAAGGTGGCTGGCTTGCACTGAAGCCCACAGTGATTTAACTATGAGTGGCTGGCTTCAATTAGAAAATGAATACTGCAGTCACTGCTTGAGGAGCACTGCAGACATATGTTCATACTGTAATGGAGAGGCCTTCTTGCCAATGATAAATGGTACTTCAAAAAACATATGCAATAATACAAAATTCATTGAAAAAAAAACTGAATTGAAAGTGTGGGTTTCTCCATGTATATTCTTTACATAAAAATACTTGAATTTGCGGGCAAAATATGCACCTGTTGTAACTATAGCTTAAGATAAAAATTGTTGCAAGGTCTATTAAAAAACAAATGGCATTATTACTATAAGTTTCCATGTCTCTGGAAACTTTTTATTTTTTTTATTTTTTTTTTACCTGAACCACCGTAAGATGATGACGAAGGTGTTCGCCTGGAGAAGCTTTTCACGGCAAGACTCTGGCCTCGCTGCTTCCGCCTCCAGGCTGTTCGGCATTTGGAGTCTATGCTTTGCTTGATTCGATACCAGTCGGATTCTGTGATTCCAAATTTATAAAATAGATGACCTATAATTAGAGAGAAACACAAAGGGATGGAAACTAGCACAGATTTGTATGTATTATGTATTTTCAGGAAAATGCATGGATGACACACACTGTCATACACACAAGGTAAAGAAAATAACAGAGCAGCTCTGCCTAAAGAAATACAACGACATTAAGAAATATGCCCTAGGTACATGTGTATAGTGGAGAGATTTCAACAGCTATTCACAACATTAAGTAATCATACATATGTACACGATTGTGTATTTAGAAGTGTCACCACCACGAAACTTCCCAATCTATTCTATCCGAGGAAACTACACTTTTATATTTCAGGTAAGCAACACTGAAACAGAAGGATCCAGCCCTCCTAAACCAAAACTGGATAAAGTTTTATTGATTGCTGATAGTGCCCATGATATTTATGCACAAGTACGACGCCACATAGAGCTTCACGTAAAACAAGCTCTTAAAGCTCAGTGCGAGATTCATCAGAATCCAACAAAAACACAGCACAAAATTCAAATCTTCTGAAAATGTTGCTACTACTCTTCAGTCATGTAAAGAGCCACATTCGGCACTTTCCAGCAGTTAGTGCTAAGTTGCCAAACTGTTATAAAAAATAATGTTGACTTGTGAGTTGAACTGCTTGAGTATTTTGAAATGAAGCTCATGCAGATCGAGTCCCGCTGCCAACTCAAACCCGGTTCATTAGTGTCTGCAACCTCTGCAATCGAAGTGGAAGCCTAATTGTACAAGAAATGGAGGAAAGCTACGTTTTTGGGTCCAAAAAATACTCACTTCAACATCTGGACAAATGGTTTAAAATTGAGAAGGAAATATGTCGTACATCGATAGCTTTTTCAAAGCACTCCTCGTACTGCTAGAGACTTTTACCGTTTTATTGTAAGCCTTACAGTGGTTTCTATTTTGCTTAAAGCATTTCGAGTTGAGGACATTTGACTGTATTAAGAGAAATTTGTGATTCTCACAACTACAGAAAAAACACCCAAAAAAATTAAATCCAAAGGTTCAAACTGTGAAGTAAACTAGAACTATCCAAACATTCAACAGTCTTTACAGTTCCATTACTTTTAAGCTTTCCGGATTTAGACCTGCGATAAAGCAGTTAAAAATCAATCCAAAGCTGTAATATTTGTTTTTACTCAATGTGGCTGTGCTTGAAGGACCCCTTAAGATTCTTGTATTCCTTTTGGTATCAAATGTTTTCCATGCGCTGCAAAATAAAACCATCTTCTCAACCTACTGGGTTTGCAAATTTACTCTCAAAGAGGATCCTGAAGTACTTGAGTGAAGCAGTTAAATGCATGCTTAAGCTGTCGTATAGCCCTCTGAATGGGATACAGGCTGTTCACGTAGGACAACAGATTTGAAGCTTAGGGCAGCAGAATGCCAGGTTTCCACTAACTAGGAGCTCTGCACTTTAACCGAGTCCTCAGAATCGGAAATTCACAGGTAACGGATCTAACATAGGCAAGAGGAATGCTGCATCTCTCAATCATTTTTCAATCACCTATTTTTTCATGCTCTAAGTTATTTCGCTAGAGATCTGTTCCAAGAGCAATTAGAACATAGAGGAGGAAAGCACTGGCATCAAAAAGCCAATTCAAAAACTCTTTTAAAAGCCCAGGATTCCTCACTGGCAAGTGACGGCAGGCACGTTATTTAGAGATTGCTTTACAACCCCTGCATTATGTCTCCAAAAGGAGGGTGGGAGTAGGGAAGGAGGAAAACCGACCGAAATTATCATCTGCTGCTGTGCAACAGTTTCCTTTCCATGGGTGTCAGCAAAAGGAAAGCACATACTGTACTGTAAATACTGCGACCACATTTCTCCGAGTGCAATCTATTACTAATATGCACTACACAGAGAAATGGGTTTATAAATCTTTGCAGTAATGTCCAATAAAAATAGTTGTGTTTTAACTCTTTCTATGATTGCAGCTGTCAGTACATACGAAGTACTTGCGGAGTCCTACATAACCACAGAGCATATGACTGTGTTATTTTGAACAAGTGTCCATATTTTATTCATAAATACATTTTAATGGCTTTCATCTTGCAGGCTGCTGTTAGAAAAGTGACTGAATTGACTGCAGGTCCAAGAAAACTCTCACAGTAAAGCAGCCTAGCAAGGAATTTTAACTATTACAGTGTAATCCAGGGGATATTCCAGGGGATGTCACTTAATTCAAACAGAAATTAATAGCTGGTATAAATTATTTAGGACATGACAGCCTCATGTGCAGTGAGCTCCTCATACTAGGAGACCCAGGGCCTGTAGGACAAGAGCTCGAGAAAGATGATGGGTGCCAGGCGAGACATAAAATGGTCCAAAAATTGCTCTATAGATGGAAGACAAGAAAAGGCAGTCTACTTATTGACCACAAAAGCTGTAATTTAATTATCGTGGGCAGAGAGACCACCACCTTCATGGAGAGACTGCAGAGGGGATAATAGACAACAAGCTAAATGGGGCAGAGTCAGAGAAGTCAGTTTTTTGGACTAAAGAGAGCCAAGGCATCAGGCACAGACTGTCAAAGCCAGGCTATTTCTTTTCCCTTATTCATGAAATTCCTACTTAGCTGTTCCTGGGGTCACAGGCGTAAAACTGGTACAGACGATGGGGCTGCTGTCTGCACAGACCTTCCCCAAAATGCATGCTCCGTCACAGCAACTGCATGTGCAAATCAGGCATGAAAAATTAGCACTTAAACACAACGATAGTTGACACAGAGGTTAAATGAATTTCAGATGTCGAGATCTATCTAGCCGATACTGTAATCTAAAGCGTTACTCTATTAACGGGTTTTTAGTGGCTACATTTCACAACAGTCCACTGAGAGCTGATGGAAAACCTCATGCTATTGACAGCGGGGTGTTTTGGAAGTACATCCACGTCCTGAGAACAAACTTCACCATACCATTAGAAATATGAGTTACCTACGGTAGAGAGATCCATCCCAAAAACATGTGCAAACAATATTTGCAAACGTAAGGGTGCTGACTTTCTGTTTTCTACCCATAACTGATCACATGCACGAGAGCTTTTAGCTCGGGGGCTCGTTCTGAGTCTGTCAAATGCCAAAAAAGAAGTCTAAAAGGCAGGAATAAAGCAAGATACTGCCAAGGAGACTTTTAACTTGGGGAAGTCCTTATTGGAAAAGACAGCAGTGCTTCAGTGAGGAGAGATGTGACTTTTTCAGAACATTTACTAGTCAAAAGCAGCATGAAGCGTCGTAATTTGTGAGCAGCACAGTATCCGTGAGCCACATAACAACCCTGATAAAAACACATTAAAATACGTTCAGCAATATAATCCAGCACTTTGGCAAAAAGACAAAGGTGCTTGGGAAGACAGATGCACATATACAAGAGTGAAGCAAAGGATTTAGATCACCTAAGGATGGCTGGCTGTGTTTTTAGAGACCTTTTTATTTAAGACAATGGCTGGTTGCTGGTCACATCCAAAACAAAGGATGTGCTTGTTTTTAAATACTCAGTGTCCAAACCTTGCTTTCTTTGGGAACCTCTCTTCCTGAAAAAAGAAAGAAAGAAAAAAAAAAAGCTTTCTATGAAAACACACCAGAGACTTAAAATAGTTCGGTTATTTAATAGATTGCAAGAGCTTGAGCAACTTCTATGAGCAACATAAATACCAGCAGCAGCTTGGGAGACAAAAAGGTCTGCACGAGGAATTCACAGAGACACGGAGCATCCAAAATGCACAGAGGAAATCGCTTTGGATTGCAAGAACCAACACTCAATCTTACTGAGCAAAACCTGAGGAGGAAAGCACGTGTGCATCAGGAAAATTAAATAAATCAGCGTTAAAAGTAGCAGGTGCATCGTGCTAAATGTAGACCCTAGATTAGAAACACAGCACTAGTTCTGGCTACGTTTTTGCTGCAGTTCATATAAAGCTAAAAGAAACAATGACGCTAAGTTCTAGAATGCTCCTTGTGCACCACAGAATAAATCTTTTTGTGGTTCATAGAAAAACAAGCTGGGAAAGACAGTGAAGACGAGCTAGTGTAAACACAGAGATCATCAGCAATGATGTTTGAAATGACCGTGCCTCCCCAAACTTTGGGGCAGCTAATGTACAAAATGTTTGTTTCTCAATTTTATTTATTTATTTTTTTTTTAAGAGAAAAGAACGGGACTAATTAAGGAAAAAGTGAAAACAATGTTCCTGAGAAAGTAATCCTCTCTTTCTTAAAGGTCAAAAGTCAGGCTGCAGACAAAGCAATCCGCAGAAACCATTAACTTGTAAAGAAATTTAATTAAGAACAAATTGAGGAGGAAGAGAAGGCATTTGTAATATCAAAACCAGACAAGAAATATTCTATCTTGATACCGCACTCAATATCAGCCTGCTAAAAAACAAATTTCAGTTAACAGCTTGCATTTAGATATTGCCGTGTCCCACTGCTTCCCAATCTCCGGGAAAAACATTTTTTTAGGAAAATTAAAAGGTAAATCATTCTATTCCTGGACTTGGCAGAATTCTCTTTGCTGCCCTTTGTACTGAGGTGGCAGAGATTCTTCCTCGTCTATTGATACGTTTTGAAAGAATAGGGCAAGTGTTACCCACAAGGGTTACCCCTGGAGAACCTACAAAATTTGTAAAATACAGACTTCTACATTAATGTGCAATCCAAACAGACTTTGTTAACCGTTCTTTCCACTTTCAACTTCAACATTATTTTTAAAGTCTACAGAAAAAGCAAGAGGGTGTCACATTCAAAATTCAAATTCAAGTGATTAAACTGATAAAGGGAATCATTTTTTTAATTGGCAAGAATAAGATGGATATCGTGAATAATAAGGGCTTCGGATTTTGCCTGCACTTAATCATGAAAAGGGGCGATTATTTGGGGTTTTGGCTAATAAAACACATTTTTTCACATAAGGCTCATACATTTGGAGTTCTTTTTATTAAACAAATAGCGTATGACAATGAAATCTGCTATACTAAATACTTGAACAGCAGAGAA